AACTAGGTTCTGAAGTCCAGTGGCTTCACCAAGGTCTACATACCCGAATAGTCTTGCCAACAATCCTTGCCCCTAAAAATATTTTGTCGTATTGCCCTGTGACCATGATAGGCTTACTCCATGGAGCCAATTTTTTGCCTGATAAGAGTTTTGTGACCCCCCCACTCTTGGATTAAATTCTCTCCCCCAGCTAAGTAGTCTCCACTAAGCCTCATTCACGTGTTTGTTGCTTAACCTATAGAGAGAGGAGTGACCATCATATATATATACCTCAGGGGCCACCACCTCCAATCTGTGGAGTAGGAGGATGACGGCTGGAAATATATCAGGAAGAAGGTTTCATAGAAGAGGGTAACCACTGTCCGGTGAGATCCACAAATAGGGAAGACTTTGTGCTTTTCCTCAGCAGAGAGGATTGTCTTCAGAATGATTGTTCAGGGTCATCCAAGTGACTTCAAAACAGTATCGATTATGTAGACCTTGGTTTCTTCTTAGGGGCTGATGGTGGGCTTCTGCTGCTGAAAGCACCATGACATAGTTAGGGTACAGGGCTTGTATCATTCGGGCTGGATCTGACCTGAAAACCTTTTTTCTGCTGTCAGTCTCTTATGGTTCCAGAAAGCACTATGCAAGCCGCCAAGAGAGGGAAGCAATTAAACAAGTCACACTCAGCTGCCACTCCTACGAATCACTTCAATTACCAGCATGGCAAGACACGCATAAAGGTGCAAGTGTCAGTGGCAGCAAACAGCTCTCTAATCCCCAGGAAGCTGACTCAGATCATCATGCCTGCTAATGGAACCTAGCCAGCTTCCTGCGGCTAGTGAGGCCATGGCCCTTAGAAAAGAATCTACGCTAGCTACCTTGTTAGATCAGCGCAATTCCTTACCGCGCCCTAAACCTTATCCTTATACCCGCAGGTGGGCACAGCTACACTTCTCACAAAGGAGCCTCTCTTTACAGAAAATAAAGAGGACAACAGAGAACTACAGCTCAACAGGTCACGAGTAGCTCAGTCCTAACGGATACAGGTCGAGTACATCACAGCTCCTGCATCTATGGCTCAGGGAACATGGCAGATCAGGGGCAGCAAGACTGCAAGTCAGAAGACCAGGAAGTCTGCTGTGAAGCAGTTTTTTTTTTTCCAGAAATGGATGCATAAACAAGACAAGAACAATGGCAATACCAGTAGACATGCTAATGTGGAAGGGGGAAAATTTCTCGGAGTCTCATCCCTGGACAAAGAACTGCAGTCTGTAATGACTGCTGGGAAAGGAGAATTAATCTGTACCAGGGATGAGCCACTTGTTGTGTGTCTAATGCAAAGTGGTCATCCCTGAGGCCATACACATACAAACAGTATAAACACACCCAGCAGGCCATATATATGTATGTATGTATGTGTGTGTGTGATCACACATATGTGTGTATGTAACAATAATAATAAAAAAGACACTATTAATTCGACAGTGGGGGACATGGAAGGGGCTTTGGGGAGGCTAGATGGGAGGGGATAGAGTGAGGAAAGGGAGAGGAGAAGGGGTGTAGTTCTATTTTAATTAAAATACATTTAAAAGCAAAGAACCTGTGTCTATGGGATAGGAAGATAGAGCATTGGAAAAAGGATGAAAAGTGGCACAGGGTGGGGTCGGGGAGTAAGATGCATAAAAGTGAGACAGAATGTAGCCGTTTCAGATTTGGGGAGTTTAAGTGGGAGGCAGCAAAAGACCGCAAAGTGAGTGTGAATTCTGGTCTAGAAGGATTTACCACCTCCAGTCAAGGTCTTTTTTGCTTCGAGTTGTCTGTGAAGTTCACATCCAGCCTTGGCTGGCTTGGAGGTCGCCACCGTAACGTTACTGTACTGGTCTTTCGTAGTAATCTCAGTTTAAGTGAGGACGTACTCAAGTGGGTCTATGAACATGTTCCATGACAGAGTCTCCATTTCCTTCCTGTGTGGCATGCTATTTTACTAAAAAATAATGTGCCCCTGCAATGGGAAAATGCTGACTTTTTAAAGGACTTCACACCCAGAATGTTTTCATTATACCATTAACATAAGGGACCGCACAGCGGGAGGCATTCTGATATGCCTCTGAAAGCTTTCTGATGCAACTGAAAGCTTTAGATGTAACTATTCACAAAGCTAAGCAATAAAGAATTATGTGGGAATACCAGGGAAACAAAGGCAGAGAGGATATCATATATTAACATACTTTTAACTGTGATGCAATTCAATAATTCACACTGTTTGGCTCTTCTAAGAGGGACTAGTACTCCCCTGCCTCACTGCAAACTCCAGCGAAAGACATCTTACTCTCAGCGGATCCCCTTCCCCCACCTGTGACTGTGGCTATGTGAGCTTCCTTCTTCCAGAACCCGGATGGTTTTAGTGGAAGAAAAGGAGGCCATAACCAGTCCTGAGTGGTACTCAACAGTTGCTTTACCATCCACTGTAGAATAACTATACCTTTTCACCTTTTCCCTGATTCTTTACAAAATGAGATTACTTTTTTAAAGTTTTTTTTTTTTTTTCAAGAAAGCATCAGCCACATTCCGTAATATATCTTCCATATTTGCCAGATCCATCATCAGATGCAGTGAAGTCGGGAAACCAGTGCAGTTACTGATCAAGCAGGAAAGCACACAGGGAATTGTTTCTACAGCACTCTCTTCATCAAAGCAAAGCAAAAAACAACCAGAAAGAAAGAACAGAAAGCTAACAACATGAGCAGTACTCTTCTTAAAATGGAGGAATGATGAATGATTACTTTAACTTTTCTATTTTCTGCTTTATATTCTTACTATAATGCACACACATTATTTTGCAACAGAGGCAAACACAATAGAGGTAGAAAATGGAGAAAAAAAATCAGTCTTTCCTAGATAAGTAATGATCCCATGCTGTTAGAGCCTTTGATGTGACCCATCAAAGGGAATTGGGAATAGGCTTCTTTACTGGTACCTCATTACCATTTCTAGAATCATTTTTTCTCTCTTTTTCTCAGTAAAAAAAAAAAAAACAAAAAACAACAACAACAACAACAACAACAACAACACATGTTTTCCATCCAATTCTTTGAATGAACTACTTCCAAGGTCATGCTTGGGAATGATCCCTGAGGCTTAGTGTAGTTGATCCCTTTACCTTCTGTCCATGTTTCTTTTTTATCAAGTGATCTCTTAGCTGTAGTCTGAGTTCCTGATTGGTCTTCAGTCCTAGACACTGTCAGACATCATGCTTTTGGTTGTTGCCACCCTCTGGTTTGATTATTCTGGACAGTAGTTACTACTTACCAAAAATTGTCTAGTTTAGCAAAACTTTACACCTGACTTCAGTCTTCAATCTCAATCCGTACAGCAGTTCCTTTAGCAAGATTGTTGTCTTAGTTACTGCTCTATTGATGTCAAGAGACACCATGACCATGACGGCTCTTATAAAGGAAAGCATTTAATGGGGGGTTGGCTTATGGTTTCAAAGGCTTAGTCCATTATCATTATGGAGGGGAGCATGGTGGCATGCACGGTGCTGGAGCAGTTACCGGGAGCTGTATCCTAATCCACAGGCCAAGGGAGAGCAAGAGTGGGCTAAGCACGGGCTTTGCAAACTTGAAATCCCAGACACACTTTCTTTCTTTCTTTTTTTTTTTTTTTTTTGAGATTTTTAAAATTTATTTTTAAATGTATTACAATTTATTCACTTTGTATCCTAGCTGTAGCCGCATTCCTCCTCCCCTCCCAATCCAGCCCTCCTTATCTCTTCTCCCCTAATCCCCTTCCATCTGACCTTAGCCTATCAGGTCTCATCAGGACTGGCTGCACAGTCTTCCTCTGTGGCCTGGTAAGGCTGCCTCTCCAAAGATAGCACCTTCAACAAATGGTGCTGGTCTAACTGGATAGCTACATGTAGAAAATGCAAATAGATCCACACTTATCACCCTGAACAAAACTAAAGTCCAAGTGGATCAAAGACCTCAGTATAAAATCAGACACACTAAACCTGTTAGAACAAAAAGTGGGGAAGAGCCTTGAACTTGGCGCAGGAGACAACTTCCTGAACAGAATACCAACAGCACAGGCTCTAAGATCAACAAGCAGACACACTTTCTTAAACAAAGACATACTTCCTAATCCTTTTAATCCTACCAAAGAGCTCCACTCCTTGGTGGCAAGATATTCAAATGTGTGAGCCTCTGGTAGCCACTTTTATTCGGACACTTCTATTACCTTGCTTGTGGTGGCACATACCTGTAATTCCAGCACTCAAGAGGCGAAAACGGGAGGATCCTAAGTTTGAGGGCAGCCTCAGCTACATAGTGTCAGGCAACCCTTGTTATCAAGAAAGATCTTGTTTTGGAACACTGAAGCAAAAAAGACCAAACCTGTGTTTATAAACTGTTTTCTGGCTCCTTTCCAAAGATCTCAAACAACCCAGCAAATGCCTTTGCCAAGGACACAACAGTCATCTACTTAAGATGTGACTGTCAAGCATGATGGCAGGTACCTCTTAGGCTCTGAGGTAGGCAGATTCCCAAGTTTCACGGACAGTGTTTGGTCCTACTTTCAAAACCCCACCCTGTCATTAAAATGTTTCTTTTTGGTAAAGCCAATTAACAAACACAGATCATCCATGTTCTTCCTCTCAATCCAGCACTGAAAAAAAATCTTCCTGATGTTCAGTGAGCTCAGGTTCAGATGGCATTATTAGTTAAGCCATTAACTAATCCTGAATAATAATGTCTTCCTTGTCTGTTTGCATTTGTCTTCTGTCATTTCTGTCTTGAAGTCCCTTAGGGATTCCCAGCCGCTTGTCTCTAGGCCATAACTCTATGCTTGACTCATTAGTCCTAGCCCAGTCCTGCCATGTCTGGCATTCTCCACCCGTTAAATGTTTTTGAGATGCTGAGCATCTTTTTTTTTTTTTTTTTTTTTTTTTTCATTGAATTTGAGTTCTTAAACAAAAATTGCAATAAAAGACCTGGGCTTTGACTCTGAAGTACCATTTACAGATTACGGTGTTTCCCCAAGCCAAACAGTTTCCACAAAGCTCTGTTCATGTCCTTGTTCCTCAAGCTGTAGATAAAAGGGTTAAGCATGGGGGTGACCATTGTGTAAATAATCGATGCCACCATTCCAGTGTCTGCAGAGTAGGAGGATGATGGCTGGAAATACACCAGAAAGACAGTTCCGTAGAACAGAGTGACCACTGTCAGGTGTGAGCCGCAGGTTGAAAAGACCTTACGCTTCCCACCTGCAGAGGGGATCCTGAGGATGGTGTGCACGATGTGGCCATAGGAGACCAGGATACAGGTGAGAGGGACCACACCTGCGAGGACAACGTCAGCAAACATCGTGAGCTGAAAGGTGTGGGTGTCTGAGCAGGCAAGCTTGAGGAGTGGGAGAAGATCACAAAAAAAGTGTGGAATGGAACGGGAGGCACAGAAAGAGGCCCGAGCCATCTGGAGTGTGAGCGGAAAGGCCAGGAGGTTGGAGGAGAGCCAGGATGTGGCCACCAGTGACAGGCATCTTTGGGGACACATGACAGTGTTGTAGTGTAGAGGAAGGCAGATGGCCACATAGCGATCATAGGCCATCACGGTCAACAGGAAGTCATCGGCCATGGCCAGTGTCATGAAGAAATACATCTGCAGAAGGCACGCGGTGCGGGAGATGGTGTGATGTTTGGTTTGGATGCTGGTCAGCATTTTGGGGACAATGGTGCTGGTGAAGCAGGTATCGATGAAGGACAGGTTGGCGAGGAAGAAGTACATGGGTGTGTGGAGGTGCTGGTCAGAGACAATGGCCAGGATGATGGACAGGTTCCCCAACAGGGTGACCAGGTACATCCCCAAGAAGAGTGTGAGCAGGAGAGGCTGTTGCTGTGAGTGCTCAGAGAAGCCGGTAAGTAGGAAGGTGGAGATGATGGTTTGGTTTCTAGCTTCCTTCTAAGGTAGATAAATTGGCAAGGAGTTATAGTTAAATACTAGGCTTTTAAAAAGGCCACAGTTTCCAAAGACCCTGAAAGCCTCTTGCTCCTTACGGAGGCTACTGACAATGGCTAGTGCTTGTGACTTTTCATTTGTAAATATGTGTGGTCATATGAAACATTGAGAAGGGGTGCCAGTTGGCTTCTCCATCACCATACTATGGCAAGCTCTCCCCAAAGAGTGTCTGAATGAAACTTAAACTGGATTTTTTTTTCTCATATTCTCTCTCTCTCTCTGAACGATCTGCCATGTGTATATCCGGTGCCCATAGAGGCCAGAAAAGGGCATTGGATGCCCTGGAACTGGAGTCACAAACAGTTGAGAGTTGCTGTGTGAGTGCTGGGAACTGAATGGGGTCCTTTGCAAGAGCAACCAGCACCCATAACTGCTGAGCCACCACTCCAGCCCCTGAACTGGAATTCATACCTCTTTAATCTTGGCTCTTTTATATAGGCCCATACAATTACAAGTTCAGCTGGGTGTGATGGCACACACCTTTAATCCCAGCAGTCAGGGAGGCAGAGGCAAGTGGATTGCTGTGAGTTTGAGGCCAGCTTGGTGTACAAAGGAGACCAGGATAGCCAAGGCTACATACAGAAACCCTGTCTTGAAAAAAATATAACACCCCCACCCTCACAAAACCAAGATTTTTTTCTAAAATTTAGCAGACAGCACAAAAAGTTGTCTTTCTTTCTCCCTCACCCCCTCTGTCTTTTTTTTCTTTTCTGCATGTATTTTAAGGGAGACAGAGAGAGAATGATTTCTTCGCAGAGGAGCTAGCTGAGACTTAGACATGCTGGCATGCTTGGCCACTTTAGCTCTGATGAGCCCCGTAGTGCAGCCATGACCCTGAAAAGCATGTTATCATTATGCTGCACCATTTTCACTTCATCTTCAACCTCACCGTCAACATCTTTCACTCTAGGACCAGAAAGCCATCCTCTCTGGGCTCTTTATCCTCGAGCTGACCTCGCTGGCTATTTTACTCTCTGAATCACTCTTTCTTTGCATGTGGGACTTTCCCACAATGCCTGTCGTTACTGAGACAGCTGTGTTTCTGCTCTCTGGTGTGGGCCATTGCCAGTATTAGTAGTCGCTGGTGAGAAGGAGGCTCACAAGGCTAGTGAGCTTCCCAGCCCTGTTCCTCACATGCCTTGTAAGTGTGAGGAACTATTTACTGGATTGGAATTTTGCTCTTATGACCTACAAAAGGTAGATAAAACACTTTACCTGAGAAGTTTGTTGAGAAACCCACATGCTGGGGTCATCTGATGTTTCTTCATGAATCATAGCACATAACCCAAAGGAGAAACTTCAGCATTTCTGCTCAACCCTGCGGAGCGTCAAATGAAGAGACTATTCAGTGACAGTTGGTGCAAATGCCATGTGTATTTAGTCTCTTGCAGTGTGACAGGATTTTCCTACTCTTTCCTCTGTGTAGAGATATTGAGAATCTCATTTACCATCTCTGACTTTATTTACAAATCTGCCTGAGTGGGAAAATAATATTGTAGTATAGATTATTAGGGCAATTAAGTTTGATAATAACTTTAAATTATTTAGGATAAATCTGGCAAGAAGAAAGTACCCATAAAATATTCGTAAAATAGTAATAAAATTAGTAAATAGCTAATTTTAATAAAAAAGGGTGTTTGTTTCTATTGTGTCTTTTTTTTTTTTTTTTTTTTTTTTTTACTGTCTGAAGGTTGGGTTTGTAGGTTGTGAAGGATCAATATTAAGTGAAAATTATTGACATAATACCCATCCCCTCTTTATCTTTGAGCTGTCATGAATCTCAGGACAATCCATGGAAAAGCATTCACTTTGACACATGGAAAAAAACACATAACTTTCCAAATAACTTAAATATCACAGCCCAAATACTATTATTATACACCGGTAATGGATAGAACATGTTTCAATTATTTGCCAGTTAAATGCTGGATCAAGAAGAACCTCATGAATAGCAGGTATTTTGACTAATATAAATTAAAATTGAAGACTGAGATGGTCCTAGAAGTGCCATATTATGCCAGGCCCCTCACATGGTGATCAGAAGATCAAGAAAATGGTTGCCAAAAAGGAAGAAGGAAAGGAGAGAAAGGCATACAGAGTCTACGTATAGTGTGTGTGTGAATGAATTCATGTCCCATGAAGTTGGAGGTAGATTCTGTTTTCCCTCCTTGTCTCTGTGTCCCAGTCTTACCTGAAGATCCCTCCTGTCTCACATTGTGCCTTAACCACCAAGGTGGTTGAATTCACTGCCTCACTGTCACCGCAAGAAAACATGACTGCAGTCAGTGTCTGTGTTGTTCGAAGATGCAGTGCCTGAAGTCTCAGGTCTGTAATAACCTCTCAGGCATGAGTGCCAAGACAAGCCGGTGGTTTTCAAGTGCAATGTCTCCTGAGACCCAATCCTTAGCATGCCAGTTGGACAAGGTAGGGCAATTGTCCAGTGCCCAGCTGTCTCCTCTGGGATGTAGTCCCATGAGTCTGATAACATTCACAGTGACCAGGGCTGGAATACACAGAGCCTTTGTTCTTGCTTTCCTCCTGGGCTTCAGGTTGATATCATCATAGTCATCATTTGTGCTGAGCAGGATCTTTCTTGTTATGAAGGACATGAATTTAATTCCTAAAACTCCCATTATAAATGCCTTTATCTGTTTTTCTTGGTTTTATTAATCTTATTCACACATGTTTAAATAATTTAAAAATAAAATTATTATATGTTTTCTTGGTAAATGGAAGTTTAATTATATGAACTTTTATGTTTGTAATAATTTCTTAAAATTTATTCATTTAATAATAATCAAATTATGTCAATACTTTTACGTCATTTTTTTTCAACTCTTTTATTATTGACCTTTTGATATTTTTAGGCACACTGAGTAAGCCATTTAGGGAGTATTTGTTGCTGCATTAAAAAAATGGACAGAGCTGCACATGTAGAGTGTAATGATTTTCTGAAAGTGAACACATATCATGTGTTAGATCATGAGTTAGAGCATGGCCAGCATCTCATAATACTATTTCAAGTTCTCCTGTAAAGAAAACACTTCTGATTGTTAGCAAACACATACTACAATAAGTGGGGGAATAATTTATAGAAAGAGAGAAGACTGCTTCAACCATGGGACTTCACAATATAGCAATTCCTGGTTGTTTATAGCAAAGCCATAGATTTCACCAGGAGATCAAAAGTACATAGATTATTCTCACGAATCTTGAATGGGGGAGGAGTTTCTCTTCAAAGCTTCAGAAAAAGTAATTACAAAGAACATGGCCTTCTGATATGAACACAAACATCATAAAAACTACCACACACACACATACACACAAACACACAAAAACACACATATGAAAAGGGGCAACAAGAGAGAGCAATGAGGTAGAAAGAATGACAAATGTTTTATGCTTGTTCTTCAATGGAGAACCGAGATTCACACACAAACAGAAGGGGGATTATTTAGGAGGGAACAAACCTGTGCAATGGAGGATAGGTGACAAAGGTGGGTGACAAGAACTGAATGTGCGAAAGTACAGAGACACATGTACATACAAGTGTCATAATAAAAAACATTGTGCACTAAGATAAATTAATAAAACACCATGGGAAGATGAAAACTAGCTGTGACACTTGCTAAGACAAAGACAAGGACATACTGAACTCATTGGTGTTAAAAAGCCTGCCTGGCTCAGTGTAAAATTGCTACGAAGACAATGGATCAATGACATGAACACACACTAAGAGAAGTTTTAAATCTGGTGATCAGATCCAGAAAGATGTTCCCTCACTAACAATGTAAGAAATTAAAGCCAAAGCCAATGGGAGCCATTGAAAATATCATAGATACAAGTAGGTGGAAAATGTAAGCACCAGAGTCTAAGAGGATGCAGACGAAAGGTATCCCAATGGAAGCATTTTGGAAAAATAAAGAGATAGCTCTAAAATTGTATTTACCTTGTGATGTAATCTTAGCCAAGATTTTCAGGAAGAAATAATGATAATGAGGTCAGAAGTCATGTTATATAATATCCGTGGCTATTTTTTAAGCAGGGGGACTGTAATCATTTTATTTTTTTCCTACTTTTCATATTAAAAAAATTCACAATTATTGTTGAAATCAATGGTATCAGGCTATGTAAGTTTATTATTATCTCTATAATTATGTCAGTGGTATTATTTAACTAACACAATCAATAAGACACAGACACCCGTTAGATTCTATAATTGCCTTATTTACCTTGGGCTGGGCAGATATTTCACCTATGTTGTTTCATATCTTCTAGCCCCATCCCATGCCATCTGCCTTATCCATTCCTATGTGGGCTACTTTCCATCCATAATCCCAAGATACCTGCTGGTAATTTTTATCTGAGGCTTTCCACACCATTCTTGGAGTCCTTTCTCCTGGCCTCTTTCTTCTTACATTGTTCCTTGTCCATGCTAAACTATCATGGCTTCCTCCTTCCTCCCTTCCCATTTTCCTGTCTCCTTCCTGTGTTTCTCTTGTCCCCCCAAAGCCTGGGCACCTCAGCCATGCCTATCTCCTTCCATCCTTCCCATATATAGGCCTTTTAATCAACCAATCAGGAATAATGTCTTAGGCAGGTTTACACAACAAGGATAGAGCAGTAACCAGATCTTGAGGGCCAGTAATTAGCATCAGAATACAAGCAGATCACCCCCTCCCACACACAATGATAAGTGTGTGTTATAGTACAGGCAGTAACACAAACCAGAATTTATAAGCTGAAGAATCACAGACCTATCCTCATAAGCAGTTGTCACTATGTTAACAACTTTATACACATTTCAGACAGGCGATTCAAACTGGTCTTCTGACTGCGCCTGGCTTCTTCCTTTATTAGAATTATTCTCTCTTTAGTCCTTTCTTTCTTTCTTTCTTTCTTTCTTTCTTTCTTTCTTTCTTTCTTCCTTCCTT